TCCATCAACCAAAAAACTATGCTCGAGCTCGCATGTGTTTTTTCGACGAATTTCCACTTCGTAAGTATATTCCCTTGCATATTTGTGAATTACAAATAACTCATTCGTGTTCATTTTAGTCATTCGCAAATGCTAATGGTAACTATCGTTGAAGCAGATAACTGTCAATAATGACTTGTTTGATTTCTTTACCTTGAACTTAAAGTTGTATTTTAATACCATCCGAAGCACAGTTTCTTGCAAATCTTTTCTTGTTTCAAATAGTTGCTCGACATGCAAATCCTCATCATCAAGAATCATATGCGAAAAATTAGAGGACAGTTCACTCGATCCATCCCCTGAGCTCCCGCTCCGCTCATAGCTCTGACGTGATAAAGCAGTCAAATCTTCATTTGTAAATTTATTTCAATTCTCGTGGTTGTGAACTGCCAATAGAATTCTGTGCGTAATAGCAAGATTACGAAGAGGAACAACTGTCTTGAGAGTAACTACATCATCCCTACGAGCTATCTCTATCATGTCCCAAAAATCATTGGCATTGTCATCCGCTCTATTCGAATCTTTGTATTCACCTTCAGTGACATCTATCATCACTAAAGTCATTCAAAGAGGAGTCGTGTGTATTTTGCTCGATTCAAATAGATAATTCACTTAAGCATCAAAAGTAACTTTTATAGGTGAAATTCAAATGGATGAATGCTCGTTGAATTGAAATATCAATTCCATATCGTATTGAGAGAGATCGAAATTCAATTTATTTTGTAGATTACGCTACATTCCTACGTATGATGTATTCTTTGATATGAAAAATAGAGTACTATCACGTATATCACTTGTTCATTTTCATACTCATCGATCATTTTGATCCAATTCAAATTACTAAAGTAACAAATTGAGATTTTAACCATATTTGCATGACGAAACAAAATTTTTAATTATAAGAAAAAATAGTGGAAAATTCAGTTCATACTTAAAAAAATTATAGATCTGTTAAAAAATTTTATCAATACGTTAATCTATATCGAAATAAGATGTATCGATTAAAAATGTATACTAATTTAATAAAAACAAAATTAAATATACACAAATATAATTACCGATTCGAAATGATTGATATAAAAAAAATTGTTTACCGTTCAATAAATTTATGATATTTTAAGGTTGAAGAAGATGGAAGATGAGAGAGTTTTTATTTGTGTTGAAATAAATAGGTAAGAAAAGTTAGCTGATTTGGAAATTTTAAGCAGGAAATATTTGATTTTCACTTGTTAACTAAAAGGAAAGTATAATTTTTTAAACAAAACAATATTTTGTAATTGTATAATATACTTAAGGGTATCTTTATATTTTACCATTCAAAAGGCCATTTTGGAAATATGAAATAGTTGAAAAGTCAAAGTGAAACATATGGAATTTGACCAGATCATTTTTAAAAATATCTTGGACTTCAAGAGTACTAGTCAAAGTTGAACGTGCGTTGCATGTTATTCTAAAATACTTTATAATTGATATAAAAATAATATTTGGTATCAATTTGTTAGAGGATTTGATGAGTTTTGAACAAATTACAGAAAATAAAATTTAGCACAGAAATTTAAAAGAGTAAAATTGTACTCTCAAAACTCAATTTTTATGATTCAATTTTTTTTTAATGATGAAATACTATAAAAATGGGCAATTTTCTTATATTACATTTGATACATAAAATTTAATTGTTAATACAAAAATTTAAACACCTATTAAAATTTCTAGATACATGATATATTTTTATCTATAATAACTCTAGATTCATATAATTAGGATTCATCAAGTGAAAATTCATTGAATCAGATTAATGTTAATGTTAATTAATTGAGAATTAATAACATAAATTTTATAATCGACAATAATTATGTAGTATTTATTACATATCGTAAAACGAAAAGTAAGATATTATTGAAATAATTAAATTGTAGAGGGTTAAAGTCGTCCAAAAAATGATTTACCTTTGGTGTGATTATATAATATATTATAGATAGGAATAAACGATAAACATGTCACTCAAGTAGAATTAATATCCCGTGCTTCATATGTGATGACTACTCGCGCCTAGAAATTCACGAATCCCTATGTCATAATATCTCTTCCACGAAACTACCGTTATAATCTATGAATCCGTAGCCAATGTTGTACAACTAGCGACAAATATGTCAATGAAGAATTTTGCGCGAACAATATGCATCGTTTAATTTTTTAACAATGGATTGCAATGCTAGAAATCTAACCTTATTTTGGTTCCAAAGAAAAGCTCTTTGGCCCGTAAAAAAGCATGGTCGCCTCGAAAGATCTAGTCTTCTCATGGGAAAAAAATTGAAAATGTTGTAGGATCGACAAACCTGCAGAGCATGATTAAAGAAGAAAAATATTAAAATTTTATTCTCTCCATCCCATAAAAATAGATATATTTTTTCTTTTTTCGTCTGTTCTAAATTATAGCAATTTTCTTTGTTGAGACTGAAGATGATTTTTTAGTTTTCTAATATTTCCCTATTAATCTACCTTGTTATCAATAAATATGAATTACTTCCATTTAAATCATTATTTATTATTAGGAAAAATATAAGGAAAAATTCTATTTCAACTATATTAATTACACTTTTTTAATCTGCATGACAATAAAAATAAGTCTATCTTTATGGGATGGAGGGAGTATTTTTTACCAGGTTGTCGTCGTCGTTCATCAATGTGTTGATAAGGCTCGATGCGGTATTTCTGCCTATGTTATTGAAATTAAAAGTGGTAATATACTTTGACACTATCCCTGGCTACTTGTACAAGTGTATCACAGCCCATATGTCCATGGCAGTGGGCCTGAAAATTCTTACATCCCCTATGAAAACGAAAAGACAGAGCTTGCCAAATTGCTACATTAAATTTTATTTGCTTTCATTTGAGGTATAAACTCTTCCTTTTTTCCCCATGCATGTGATGCTTGTCATAATTGTTTCTTCATGTGATCAGATAGTAAATTTGCAGACTTTTTTCACAGAACCCAACAGTTTTGGTCTTAGCCCCATTTGGTAGATATCTAACTCAAGTCAAGGAAAGGTTACTAATTTTGGTTAAACTAAGGAAATCTGCAGTCTCCATCTTTTTGTGTTGGTGTATGAGATGTAATCAGTCATGTTTGTTGCATAGTATTAGACAAGATGATTTAATAATGTACAATTTATTATACTCCAATTGTATTGTTTATCAAGCTCTAGATCACTTTGGACTTGCTATTTAAAGGGAATTCAAAAATTTTTACCATTGTGCCCAAAATTCAAGAAGCCCACAGCTTCATCCTGTCTGTATCCAAAATCATCTCAAGCATATCATTTTGAGCTCTGCTAGAAAGGTAGAGCCTCCATTCTCACCTCACTTGCACTTGTCGCCTTTATTGTAGACCGTGGAATACCTCTTTATTAGCACCCTCAATTTCGATCTCATTTAACTTATGTAATTTTCAATTGATTGCTAGTTCAAATTTTTGTGCGATGACTCTCTATAACTAAACAAAGGTCGGCCTTCACCAATAATGCTCTAAAATCACATTCTAGGTTTGACTTTCATTGACTTGGTTGACCTAGCCAAACCTCTAATTTGTTAGCTTGTCGATCCTTCGAGCTATAGGTACAAGTTAATTTACACGATCGAGGACCATCTTTTGATATTTTAACAGTAGGATCACGAAAAACTAATTAAAAATGGAAAACCCAAAAATTCAAAAAAAATATTATGAAGATGGGCGGGGAAGAGGTTGCTGTCCCTTTGCCTGCAAAAGCATTCAATGTTTTTTTGGCAATATTAAGGTGATTATAAACGATGCCATGCAAGTGGCAATTTCTTCACATTCTGCAAATATATTCTGAAATATACCTTCGACACACACATACAAAAGCGCCATTAGTTGTACTGATAGAACATTTTGCACATGATCCATAGAGGATCAAGAACCTGGTAGGATTTTCTCTATGGGATTGGATTATAGATATTAATTATAAGTTAAGCCAAAATCAGTGAAATAGTATCAGCATAAGAAGTTACTTAAATATTTTCCTATTTGTGGTGGCTATAAATTTTCTTCTCAAATCAATTGTACTGTATAAAATTAGGGCTTGTTTGGTATGCCATAACGACTTGACTAGATAGTATAATGTACAATATTTAGCATTTTTCTTTTCTTCTGTAATACTGTCTAGTGCTGTCACACTACTAAAAAATAACTTTTCACCTACGAAAAATTACCAACAGATGTGATCCGTTGATAATTAGAAACGGATTATTCGTTGGTAAAAGTAATTCACTTATCCCACATTTAAAGTTCATAACAAAGTCTTCGGAGTTACCCTCTATAAATTAATTTGTGGTCTAATAAGTGGTTAAACAATATTTTGGCCTTTGAATTCGGTTGGCTAAAAGTTAAAAAAATTAAAATTATTAAATAAATAATAACAACAATAATAAAAAATAAATAATTTTTTTTATTTTTTTATTTTTATCATGGCTCACACCTATATGGCTATTTACAATATTGATTTTTACCAATTGTAATGGTAGACATTTATCAACAGAAAGTTGGTTGGTATTGGTTAAGATTTTTACCAACGAAAATTTTGTTGGTAAAAGATTCACACTTTACCAACGGAAAATTTATTGGTAAAATGTTTATTTTTTACCTACGGCAGAATCCGTTGGTAACTATCAGCGATCCTCAAATTAGCAACAGATTTGTGGTTGCAAATATTCCGTTGGTAAAGAGTAATAACAACGGATATCGAGGTCTCAGGAATGAAAAATTTATGCCTGAAGTCATGTTTTTTAGTAGTGTCAGTCGAGTTAACGTTTCTAAACATGACGCTAGAATTTGTTAAGATGGAAACTTTTAGAGATAGGGTTCTGTCCTATGGTCGTGTGGTAGTATTCTGCTCCTTCCTTTTGATTTGTCATTTATAAGTTCTTTGCTTGGCTGTCATGAAGTCACGTGAATGTCTAGGCCCGCCTCCTCTCTTCCTCCCTCCCTCATTTCCCTTTTAAAGAACCTTTTGATCTCTGCTCCTTAGGCCATTTTACACACATTACCAGTTTCTGTACACTTCCCTCTCCACTCCTCAATCTCAGACCTATAATTCTTCCATTGGATCCTATAATCAAGAAAAATTGTTCATTTAGTCTTTCTGTCCCACCCCCACCTCACGAAAAAAAAATCAGTCTAAATGAATCCAATTAACCTGAACTCATCACCTTTTGTTCTTGAGCCAAACGAAGAACTCGATGATCAAAATCCTCCGCAATTTGGTGTGAACCATCATATTGCTTCATCATCTTCACACTCATGCCATTATTTCTTCAATTCGACTCAAGATTACGCGAAATACTATCGCCATGAATTATACCAGCCTCAGCAGCATCAAGAGGTGCATAGTTGTTTGTTTGTTTTTGTTTTTTCCCCTCCATTAAGTTGTAAATTATCTAGTCATACTAATGATCCCTTGGATCGTTTTTGTTAATTCGATCACGGGATGAAAGTTATGCTTATGGTTTTATTGAGTACACAATTATCTAACCTTATTGTACTAATGATCCCTTGAATGCTTTTGTTACTTTGATTGCAGGATTTTAGTTACGCCTATGGCGGTGGATCATACGATGTTGAGAATAAAGTTGACAGTGGTCTTAAATTAACTCTGTGGAAGAAACTAGATCCATCTGAAAGTGTATTGGAGAATAATAATAATCCAGTTAAGTGGATGTCGTCGAAGATGAGATTGATGCACAAGATGAAGAATTCGGATCATGCTGGTCTAAAAATAACTAGTGGTGGTACAGAAAAGTATGAAAATCATCAGAAGCAGCCATCCTCATCTTTGGAAACTGATTTAAGCAGCAACAGTATTTCAAATAATAATAGCCCTATTAGGGTTTGTACTGATTGTAACACAACCAAGACCCCCCTTTGGAGAAGTGGTCCCAAAGGCCCTAAGGTAAAAATTTATTCGAATTTCTAATTCCATGTTTGGAAAGTTAGATTACATTGTATTTGACAATATTACATAGACAAATTTAACTGAAATTTTGTTCAATGAGCTATATATCGAGTATCATTTGACTGTAGAGTGACATTATTTTCGTCTTCTAAAACAAATATTTCTTATTAATTTTCTAAATTTTAATCACTAATTTGTCTGTTTTTCTTATCTATTTGTAGTCTCTTTGCAACGCCTGTGGAATTAGGCAAAGAAAGGCGAGGCAAGCAATGGCTGCAGCAGCTGCTGCTGATGCTAATGGGACAGCCATTACGACTAAACTATCGCCAATGAAGATCAAGGTGCACCATAAAGACAAGACTAGCAAAAGTGGACATGCTACACAACTCAAGAAGCGTTGCAAAATTACTTCTGGACCATCCAATGATACGAAGAAACTCGGCCTAGAAGATTTCTTGATAAATTTGAGTAAGAATTTGGCCTTAAATCGAGTATTTCCACAAGATGAGAAAGACGCTGCGATCCTGCTAATGGCTTTATCTTCTGGTCTTGTCCATGGTTGATTCAATTTCTACAAAAATGGGTGTGTTTTCTTGATTTAGCTAGAAGTACTATGATTAATTAGTATTAGAAGCGCAAATGATTGAGAATGAGTGAGATTATATTGTCATAATTTAATGAGAAAAGCATAATAAATTTGTGTGGCGATCTTGTAAACCTTTTGATGGATTTGGACAAGTTGATAACTTGGATCTCTTGCTCAATATCCATCAGCTAATGGTGTTGAACCCAATTAATTTACTAAAACAATTTTTTCTTCCTTATCTATTTGGTCCCTTACAATTTTTTGTCATATGCACAACAAACTTAAAATCTTTTTTCATTTTTGTTGAATATATAAAGGTTACATTCATTTCCTTAACAAATTCAAGCTTTTTCACTAAAGTTGATAATTCGTTAAAGTTCTTTAACTGAAAAAACTAATATAAGTATGTGTTACACATCAAGGGCTCCTTTCTCTCCTCCTTTAAACTTGGATTTGTATTCAAGGGCTTCTATAGAGTCACTGAAATCAATAATATCTAAATGAAAGATCTTCTTAAAGCAATTAGGATAGCTCAGAATAAAACTTTCTTATGGCTAAGATTGATTAGAACAATGGGACATATATGGAATAAGAAAAATATGAATCAAAATTTCTTAATTCTTTCACTGAAGAGAGACAGTTTCAACAGAAGAAATGATAAATACTTGGCAATATGCATGATATAATTGCTGCAGTTTTATCTATTGTTTATACGCCTGTTTGGTTTAATTAAAGAAATAATAAAATTTTATGTCAAAATCTAAAATTAATTTTAATTAAACATTTCATGGAACCTACAACTTTCATCAAATTTTCAATCATACATTTGTCAAAATCAACTAAAAAATAAACCAAACATTGGCATACATAATGCTAGGATTTATATTTTAAAAGATGATTTTCAGGCTAACAATATGAGGTTTTTGTGTGTTACCCTCTGTTTGGAGAGGGGAAAAATGACAACTACTTTTATATTTAAATGCAATTATACTCTTTTTTGTTGATAATGAGTAAAAATTATGAACCTTTTAAAGTCATTAAAAAATCTAATTTGAATATATTTAGCCCCCCAGTTAGAACTCCATTTTTAGAGTTAAATTTTATACAAGTGATTTTTTGCGAATGCATGTTTAAAAAGTTGTATTGAATTTATGTGCAAAATTATTTTTTTAAAAAATATTTGTTTGAAAATGAATTTTAAAAAAAAAAATTAAAATAGGCTCATACAGAGACTTAACCTTTTGCTAATTTCCAAAAAAGTGACCATTTACAAAAAACTAAAACGGGCATATTTGCATTGGTATTCTGCGGTCTTTCTCCACATATATTTTGCCAGAAAACGAGTTGACATTATAAAGCCTTTTATCTTGTTATTATTATGCGGTCAGCCTGGACGTCTAGTACATCAGTCATGGTTGTCTTGATTGGGGAAAAAAATTGAAAAAGAAACAGCTAGATAACTGGATCTTTTCTAGATACATTTACGCATCATAAATATTTGTAATTTTACTTACATAAGGGTAGCAGAATTACGTTTGCTACATTCTGATTCCGCTTTTGTCTCATGCTTCTTAATTCAATCTTTAATATTTGATTACTTTCAGATTCTTGATGTTTCGAACCTTTAAATATTCTTTGATATTCTCTCTAGGATATGACTACACTCATCATGGGCATCGAACCCAAAACCCCAAGACAAGCCAAAGACCAGAAGAACAACCAATTTGATATGTATTTAAAGAGAAGCGATCTCATGACATGACATATTTATAATAGGATCATTTAATTTTTAGACTAAAATTTTTGATACACCGTGTTGCTTATAATAAAGTAGTATTACTCATTACAATACGTTATGCCTCCTCAAGTTCTTTATATTGATGTAGATGGAAGTGTGCAAAGTGAATTGAAAGTAAAGCGTCATCATTCGTTTGAATCAAAATATTTGTAAGATTGGAGTCACAATTACAACAAGAATAGCCTAACTTACATGTCAGACTCTGTTGGAGGAAATAGGGATTTATTAACTTGGTTTGAATAAGATTTTTAAGGAGGAAAACACTAATAGGAAGAAGGAAGTGAACAAAAGGAAACTTGAATTTCTCAACTTCAAGACTCGCACACTTTTTTGGCTTATTACAAAGTAGAGGACACTGCCCCTTTATATAGTATTTACATGAAGCTTCTAGTCCACACATTTTTTTAAAGAATCCTAAGCCACATATTTACATAAGACTTTTAGATCACACATTGGACAAGATATTTTCCTAAAATACTCTAGATAGACTTTATAAGACCACATATTCTTCTTAACACATTACCACATTTATCACCGCATATTTTACTTAGATATTTACATGGATTTTTTTAGTAGATATTTATATAGATTTTTTTAGATAATACTTCTAGAAATGTTAGACATGTCGGGCTTTTTAATTGATTTGGGGTCTATGGGCAAATTTCTTAAGCTCATATTATTTAGTCCAAAAATTAAGTTTACTATTCAACATTCCCCCTTAAACTTGATTTTACTACTCCAAGTAGAGTTTTTAACTTGCGGAACACGTCATGCTTGAGTGACTTAGTGAGAATGTCGGCGATTTGCTCTTGGGAGGTTACATATTTTAACTACACTTCTTTGTTTGCAATACTTTCTCTTATGAAGTAATATCTTATATTAATGTGCTTGCTTCTATCGTGGAACATTGGATTCTTTACCAACGCCAGTGCCGATTTGTTATCAACATGGATTTCGGTTGGTTCTTCTTGTGATACTTCAAGCGTCTTCAACAAGTTTCTAAGTCAAATCGCATGGCAGACACATAATGTAGCTGCAACATATTCAGCTTCACATGTAGATAGCGCTACGATCGATTGTTTCTTTGAGCTCTAAGTGAAAGCTGTGTCGCCCAAGTAAAACATATACCCAGTCGTACTCTTTCTATCATCACTGTCTACACCCCAATCGTTGTCACTACGTCCAACAAGTTTGAATTCATTAGATGATGAATAGACTAAGCCATAATCAAGCGTACCTTTGATGTAATGAAGAATTCTCTTTCCAGCTTTCATATGGGTCATGGTAGGTGTTTCCATATAGCGACTGATGAGTTCAACTCTAAAAAAGATATCTAGTCTTGTGTACGTCAAGTATCTTAGACTTCTAACAAGACTCTTAAAAAGTATTGGCTTTACCTTGTGAGATAAAGATGTAATCCTCAATTTGCTTTACCTCAATCCCAAGATAGTAGGCCATGAGGTCGATATCCGGCATCTCGAATTCTTGAGCTATGGCCTTTTTAAACTCAGTGATCATACTTTGATTATTTCCCGTGAATATAAAATCATCTACATACAAACAAACAAGTAAGCAAAATATCTCCTTTCTCATTTACCTTTGTATAAAGGGTATACTCGTGAGGGCATTTTGTAATTTTTTTTTTAAAAGTACTTGTCAATTCTACTATTCTATGCCCTTGGAGTCTGTTTCAACCCATATACAGCTTTTTTTAGTTTTGAGACTTTACCTTCATATCCTTTTATTTTATAGCCAGTTGGTTGCTCCACATAGACTTCTTCTTCAAGATAACCATTTAAAAAAGTCGATTTCACGTCCATTTGAAATATCTTCCACTTATTTTGCGCTGCAAAAGAGATAATTAATCTTATGGTTTCTAAACGAGCAACATGAGTAAATACCTCTTCATAATCGATTCCCAACTGTTGGTTGTAATCCTTTTGCAACCAATCTTGCTTTATATCTCTCAACTTCTCTTTTAGCATTTTACTTTGCCTTGTATACCCACGTAAATCCAATTGCTCATTTTCCTTTGGGAAGAGTCGTCAGCTCCCACGTGTCATTTTTCTCAATAGCCTTAATCTCTTTATCCATGGCATATCTCCATCTTTTATTATAAGCTACTTTTTCATACTCTATTGGCTCAAATCGGCAAAATGATAAAAGAGTGTGAGATTATTTTGATTTTCTATTACCCCATATAGCTCTTGTAGGCTCCTCATACGTGGTGTCCTTTCGCTTGAGCTTTCTCTTTGTGTAGATGATGGAGAAGCATCTCCATGAATAGATGATAGAGGTGGACTGATAAGCTCTTGTTGCTCTCCATTCTCTTGTTCTTCTTCTTCAAAAAATGATAAGAAGTCATAGTCTTCTTCTTGGACACCCCCAATCCCAAGCTCTTTCGTCATCAAACTCAACATCTACTTATGGTGATCTTCTCCTTACTTGGATTATACAACTTGTAGCTTTTAGAGCGAGAGTCATAGCCGATAAAGACATACCTATCACTTTTGTCATCTAATTTGAACTGCTTTTGATCTGGTACATGACCATATGCAATGCTCCCAAATACTTGTAGGTGAGAGATGCTGAGCTTTCTTCCACTCCATGCTTCTTGTGGTGTCTTATTCCATACGCTTCTAAAAGGTGATCGATCAGAAAGATACATGGCGTAATTAATAGCTTCAGCCTAAAGTTCTTTGGACAATCTCTTACTTTTGAGCATGGAGCCGGCCATGTTAATAATAGATCTATTCTTTCTTTCGGCTACTCCATTTTGTTATGGAGAGTATGGAACCGTCAATGGGTGAGAAATTTAATTCTCCTCACAATATTTTTCAAACTTTTTGGAGGTGAATTCTCCTCCTCTATCTGACCTCATGGCTTTTATGCTATAGTCACTTTGTTTTTCAATAAGAGCTTTAAATCTTTTGAAAATTTTAAAAAAACTTTCGATTTTTGTTTGAGAAAATAGATCCAAGTCTTTCTACTAAAATCATCAATAAAAAGAAAAAAGTAATGGTTCTTACCAAGAGAGCTTGGATTGATTGGCCCACAAATATCCGAGTGTACAAGTTCTAATGGCTTCTTAGCTCTTATGCTTTTTTTAAAAAACTTTTTCTTGAAAACTTTCCAAGTAAGCATCATTCACATAATTGATCCGCATGATATATTGGAGGCAAACCTTTTACCGTCTTCTTTTTACTCAACAACTTTAAGCCTCCAAAATTAAAATACCCAAATCTTAAGTGTCAAAGCCAATATGAATCTTTAAAACAGGCTTTTAAGCATTTAGCAACACCATTTTGAATGCTTAGCGTAAATATTCTATTTCTTGTCATAGGGACTTTAGCAATGTAA